TTTTGAGAATTTAGGCAATTTGAAAAATTCATAAATTAATGAGCAATTTTAAATTCTAAAAACTGACAAAATCGTAAAACTCAATCGAAAACTTGGAAAGTTCGAATATGCTTATAATTAAAAAATTAGATAAATAAAAATTAAGTGTTCGAAAAAGGTAAAACTTTACAACTTGATCGAAATTCAAGAGGCTTTCCTAAAAATTCGAAGACGAAGAATCAACCTTACAATTTAGAATTTAAAAAAATAAAAATCTAATGCACATACAATTTTAATATAAATAAAAACAAATTCAAAGTCAGAAAAGTCAGTGCATCCAATAATTAAAAATAATAGAAAAATCGGCTTAAGTATAACAAATTCGAATTCTAATCTAATTAGGAAATATTTGAAAAAATGGAAATTACGGACAAAATAAAAGTAAAAATTCAAAGACAACTAAAAATTTATCAAAATTAGTTTATTTCACAAAAATTTGAGAAAATGCGATGCACAGTTTTTATGCAGGGTGTTTGGTTTTTCTTATACGACCCCAAACTATATTTTTAGCGCATTTTTTTAAAATAAAAAAATGTACTATTGTTTGTGTTTTGTCCGTCCGTCCGTCCGTCCTACTTCAGCCGTTTTGAACTACTTCTAGGGGAATGGTGCTAGAGTCCTGGAATTTTTGGCAGTAGGTAGCCTATACCTTGAAGGTGTGGCAGACGGCTATCAAATTTTGCTGTCTAAAAGGGGGCCCTCCCACGAATTATTTCCTAAGATGCTGTGAGCGACGGGGTCTGAGAGTGGTTGGGGGGGGGGGGGGGGGGTAAAAATTAATTACAGTTCTCATTGCATTCTAATTAAAGGTCTCAACGAAAGGAACCGCTTTCTACCAACTACTGTCCTTCTTTCTGGCGTCTTATCAAAATACGAGGTGGAGGGGGAGGGGGGTGGTAGAACTAATTTTATCCTTCATGGTACTCTAATGAAAGGTCTCAACCAAAGGAATTAATTTCTACCAACCATAGCCCTCCTCCTCGACCTCTTATCGTGATCGGGTATATTCCCTTATACTCAAGAACGGATTGTTTAGAGGGTACTCACAAAGGGCGATTGAGACGTTTGCAAGAAATATATCCATTGGTTATGTCAAAACAAAAGCTATTTTGGTTAAAAAATGCGCTTTATCACAACTTATACTTGTTTCATATAGACCACCCTATATTTTTTTGAGTTTTTGAAAAGAGAGTAAAATTATATTTATATTAAATATTATTTGCAATATTGCATTTTATACATTACAATGTTTTTATTGCAGGCATCTAGGTTTCCATGGTGAATTAAAGAGAGCAGGATGGTGGAAAGTATCAAACCCAACAATAGTACAGATATTTTTAAAGCGAAAGAACAACTAATCCCCAGAGTGTAGAAACGTAGAGCAACGAAGATGAATATGATTAAAATGTTAGATGCAGGTAATTGCAGACATGCACTAAAGATTTACAGACGATCGGAACTAATTTGATACAATGCGATCAAAAATGATTGGCTCTCTAGTCGCCTTTGGAATTTTTGTTTACATGGGAAATCGTATCTAACTTGAACTTCCAAAGGCGACTCGACAGCCAATCATTTTTGATCGCCCGATATATCAACATAAGAAATGGACAGGGAACGAAATATACCTCAATTTAAGGAGCAGACATTGACAAATTGAGCAAAAACCCATTCGCGCCAACTTGCGATAAAATAAGTCACTTATAAAGTAACCCGATAGTTTCGCCCCCCTAATTTTATAACTATTAAATTACCTTAAGCGGCGGATAAAGTTTTATACCAAGACGGTTAAATATCTTAATTTTTGTTTAATTGGCGATATAAACCAGAACTTCTACTTATATATCTCGTATCTTTTTTACATAATACATTATTCTAAAGGTCAACTGATCATTAACCTTTCAAAAAAATATATACACACCTGAATTTGTAAATAGTGACTGGTCGGTGAGAATTAAAATTTCGTATTTCTATTAATAAGGTGAGAACTTAATGGAATTTGAATAATTTGAAAGCTCGTGTGAACATGTGGAGCTTCAAATGATTTTTTTAATATCTTGTAATCGATTAGGGATTCGGTGCGTAATATGCGAATCCTTATCGATTTCAAAATTGAAAAAGGGCGAACTCGCATCCTGTGCACGCCCGATATCAAATATTCATTTTACGCCCAAATTTATGACTCACGTAATTTTTGATTAACATACAATAGTGCGGCTCTGTACTATATTTATTTCAATTATTTTTAATGCGCAACAATGTAAATTGTTTTGAGGGTTGTAGAGCACGTGGAATTTAGCCGACATTTGATATGGGAGCCTGGTCTAAAAATAGAAAGGTCAACAATTATCAACTGCTTAAACCTTCATTAACTAAGCAATTAATGTGGAAGAAAGCAATGCATGTCATTTCCATTAGAAGGCCGCCATGTTTTATTTACAAACAGAACTGGCAATTTTAGCGCGGTAACCTGTTTGTTGTTCTTCTGTCGGATCAATTCAACACTAACCCTGATGCATGATGACTACCCACACATTCCTTCGCATGTTTGCTAGTTAGCCGCAATGCTGAATGAAATTTAACTCCGAAGGGAAGGGACGCAGCTGAAAAAGTGGGGATGTTGCATGAATGAATAGATTTAAAAGCTCGTTAACATGAGTTTTTGTTGTTACGCTTCAGCTGTTTTCAGGATATACAAGTTAATTATTGTGGAATATTATGAATTTTGTATTCCATTTAAATACAGTTAGAAATTATTTAAATTATTTTTAAAGGGCATGCTTTGAATTTAAAATTGAATTTCCGTTACTGATTTTACTGAATAGAAGTAACCTTGTCGGATTACCCCTTTTATTTCCAATAAATATATATTATAACGTTAACGCCTTTAAGTAAAATATTTACGTTTGCACTCATTTTCAATTCCCACGCGTGTATTTTAAACGTTTTTTCACTTTTAAGTAAACAAGTGAATTTTATGAAAGTAAAAAGTCTCAAGTTTATAAATAAACAGTTAACTCAGGTTGGTTGAGATATGTGTCAAGTAAGAATTTCACCTGTGCTAAGGGTAAGGGATGAATTCCAGAACCAGAAGAATCCACCCTCGCCGCCGAAGTAATTCTCGGAAGGAATTCGATCGTAGGCGGTCTGAACTGAAAGTTAATTGTTAAGCGCCATTTTAAAGGAGGATGCGGAATAACGCTTGAAAGATTTTTATTCTTAATACGTGAACTGGGGGGTTGTAAAATCAAGCAGGACAAAAATACACAGAAAAATGTCTAATGGCCAACATTTAATTTTTTCATCTTGTGTATGTCTTTGTTTGGTTATGTAGTTACCGACAAAACGTGAAAGTATGCAGTATAGCTGCGTCAAAATAATACAAGCAAAGCAGTGTGGTCCGCGAAGTACCCCATACCTTTGTACCTCTGCTCTTCTGTTTTATTCTTTGCAATCTTTACCGAACACCTACATAATGCATTCCTCTTCTATGTATTATAGTACTTGCACGCTGTTTTCTATTACAGTTCCTAGAACGCTGATTAAAAATCATTTAAGAGTAAGCTCCAAATGGTCATAATTTAAATAAATCTTCGAACTTTGTGCATGAATTAAATTTATCTAATTCAAATGCCTTTTTACATTCAACTGGGCCCATTTATTATACTGTGTTTAATTTCGAATTCCTCTTGTTAACCACGTACCGATTAACGGCGGTTACTTTCTCATCAGAACTAAGGAATTTTGTTCAACATTCGATTTTAATTGGAATATAGATACCCCACACATCGTGTATCAAATCACTTACAATCTATCTCTTCCTCATTTTTCCCTAAACCCTCGACCGGTATTTTTGTATCCCACAACACAATACTTGCAGATAACGCAATGACATGGAAAATGGGTAGCTAATTTCATACCTAAAGAAGCATAAGAATCGAGTAACGTACTCTTTTAGTGGTCTTGTATTGCGATTCGTTTGTGGACTGTTTCGGTGTATGCATGCTCCAATTCTTCTATTGAGCATTATTTTGGCCACACTCCATTTTTAAAATTGGTCACGTGTTTCGTCTAGGGATTCACTGTATTATCTCCGACTTGAATTGTAATTTCTTTTCTCTTATACTTTTTGGATGTTTACCCCTGTGAGTGCCTAAATACGAATAAATTATACAAACGATGTATCTCGTTATGGCGTATTTTCCAGATCATTATTGAGGTAGGTAGTTTTTTACAAAGGAAACACATCTCTAATCTTTTAATTTTTACATGATTTTGCATAAGTGATGTAATAATTTCAGTTACGTATTTGGGAGAGTAGCGAATGTAAATCCTAAACACTGATCGTGCAGTGTATATGGGGTGGAAATATGTTTTTCGCAAAAAAAAACTAAGAGGACAACAATAAAAAATGACATATCAGCTTTATATAACTAGAAATGTATCAGTATTAGTAACCGATATTTTTTTTTTAAACTACAGTGGACCTTTGAATTTATATTTTGTAGTGAAAAATTCTGTTGCATATGCTACCAACTATACATACTAGCATGCACACGATTTCTTGTTTGAAAAAGGGATGGTATAGAGTTAGTAAACAGTTCTCATTTCGGCGTTATTAATTGTTGCAAATCTGCATTTTAGAGTTTCCCACAATGAGCTACGTCGATTGCTAATGCTGTGTGCATTGGTCCCGACCAAAAAGAACCATAAAAAATAACTGCAGTGCCCCACGTTAGGAGAGCAATTAAATAAATGCTGTGACCCTACAACTTCGGGGCAAATACGACATTTTCAAACCTACCTAGCTCTTTAATCAAAATTTGCCAAATGAACTTTGGGCGTGAATCAATACAATTAATGGTAATTGTCCATAAGACTTCTCTCTTCGTCATTAAAGGGACCGAATGAACGCAACTTGTGTAATTTTACATAAATAAAATTTATTTTACAATCACACATGAAACATACACTCCTATCAAAATGCAATTGGACCACAATGTCCGAACAATCAAAACAACATGGGTGTTCAACTACCAACATTATAACAGCTACTAAGAAAAAATCATTACAGTTTTTGAGTTAAAATATCCAAATATAGTCCGATCACACCAAACACTAATTAAATTAACGGAAGTAAATGCACCTGATAACACGTGACACAAAAACTTGATTTTTCTACTTCATATCCCCGAAACGGTTGTGGTAACGTTGTTTACGGAAACTTGAAATAGCCGTCCGTGTTTCGTAGAAATTTACTTAAAATGTTCGCACAACGTCTTAAAACAGGAACATAATTTCGTTCCAAAAAGTCTTAACAAGAACTTCTTCAATAGACGGCAACTTGAACTGGAAAATTTTACGGAAATTCTAATGACAGCAATTCGTCCTAATAGACAAAAGGCGTCCTCTGGTATTTAAACAGAACACAGCACTATATGGAACCAAAAGGAAATAGGCACCTGAAAAGTTGTACCTTGAAATTCTTTTCAGACCAAGCAGGCCGGGATCCCAACACATCAAAACGAGATTCCATTTTTTGTAGGGAAAACGTGTAGGGTCAAAAGAAGACACGTTTACTTTAATTAACACTTCTGAAGGATCTCCGAATTGGCAAATCTAGTCAAAAATCTGTACAGCTCTACTGTGTATACGCACATTCAAACACGCTGAAATCTGAGAGTGCTTTTTACAACTTGCTTATTATGTAAACGCTAGTGCAAGTTACTCTCAGAAGTACTATCCCAATTTACTTACTATTTCGTATAAACATCTGTAACATCTGTGACATCTGTGACGTCTGTGACATCTCTGACATCTGTAACATCTGTAACATCTGTAACATCTTTAACATATGTAACATATGTAACACTTGTAACATCTGTAACGTCTGTAACTCTGTAACCTCTGTAACATCTGTAACTCCTGTAACACCCGTAACTCCTGTAACATCTGTAAATTCTGTAACTTCTGTAACATCTGTACTATAATCATCAAGGTGTATTGGTGCTACCAATTTTTAAAAAGGGTGATAAATCAGTGATTCAAAACTATAGACCTATCTCTATACTCAGTAACTTTGCTAAAGTACTCGAGTCATGTGTATATAACATCTTGTTTGGTCAATGTAAAGATTATTTCTCAAGCAACCAGCATGGATTTCTTCAGGGTCGCTTGACTGTAACCAACTTGACTTGCTTCACTGAGTTCATAATGGATGCTTTTGGTTCTGTATCTCAAGTGGACGTCATTTACACCGACTTCTCCAAGGCGTTTGACAACGTTTGTCATAGGTTACTCATAAATAAGCTGAAAAACTTTAATCTTAGTAAAACATTTGTTCTGTGATTAAGTTCTTACCTTACTGATCGTCGTCAATGTGTATGTTATAAGAACTTCAAATCGGATTATTACAAAGTGTCCTCGGGAGTGCCACAGGGGTCAAACCTCGGCCCACTCTTGTTTATTATATTTTGTAATGATATACTTTCATCCCTTGGTGATTGTGCCCTTGGTTATGCGGATGACATAAAAATATTTAATAAAATTGAGACTTTGAGTGATGCACGTGATCTGCAGTATAAGTTAAACTTACTCGTCAATTGGTCGCTGTCTAACAAATTAAATCTTAATGTGGATAAGTGTAGTGTGATGTCGTTCTCTCGTAAGCAGGTTACGCAATTGCATAATTATGTTATAAATAATTGTTCGCTTAAACGTTGTGTGATGATTAAGGACCTTGGCTTAACGTTTGATTCTAAACTGAACTTTAATACCCACATTACCACCATTTGTTCTGAGGCGTTAAAGCTCTTAGGCTTTATTTTTAGGAATTCAAGAGAGCTGAAATCTGAAGATGCTCTGAAGACACTATATAATACACTCGTACGCACTAAACTTGAGTATGCTTCTGTGGTTTGGTCGCCAATTTACATCACCTACAAAATTAAACTTGAAAACATTCAAAGACGTTACCTCAAATATTTACTATATTTACGCCACGGTGCATTCCCAGAGAGAGGTGTAGATTATGGCTCTCTGCTTCTCGAGGGTGATATTGGAGCTCTTGAACGTCGTAGGGAATTTCATCAAGCCAGGTTTATTTACAACTTGATCATTAACAAAATTGACTCGCCTGCACTTTTGGCGCGCATTGGTTTTCATGTGCCTCAAAAACATCTCAGGAGGAACAACCTGTTTGTTTATAAACAATCCTTGTGTACGTCACTGATATCGCGTATGTGTGCCTGTCTTGAATCGGTTAATCGACATGTTGATATCTTCAACTGCAACGTGCGCGATATCTCTATCTGTTTTCTGTGATACTTGTATACTAGATTTATTTACATTATTTATATTTACATTTATTCACTTTCTCATCTGTAATTAGGCTCTGCTGTTAGATGGGAAATAAAATATATTATTATTATTATTATCTAAAAATTAAGAAACTCAATCCTTTCCATGAACAAGAGGACCAGGGGCCTATAACACAAACTATACAATTGTAACAAGTCAACCAATTACGAGTAATCTGCCTGTAACTATAACCACAAGTCCTACTTAATTCGGTATATGCAAATGAGTTGTGTTATGAAAAAGCTACAAGTGTCAAATATATTCTAACAATTGTAGGACTTGTAGGGCTTGTGTTATATGCCCCTGTAGTCCGAGGTTAGTTCCATTTATTTTTGTAAAAAAAGGAATAACATTTAACGTTAAGCTTTAATTAATTGGTCTTAAAGAATTAAATCAATTTGGAATTTCGAATATAAGCCGTACTGTGTAAACTGAAGAGGCTATTAAATTTTGTGTACATTCAAGATTCGTTTTGGTTCCAGAATTTAAATTTTCTTCCGTAATTTCAATGTACAATCGGCCAATTTCAAGGGTTCATTAATTTTTGGTAGTTTTTCTTTTATATTAAAAGTGAATTAACATTTGTTTTGGTGTCTAATGTATAATTTAAATGTGAAAATTGAAGTTATTTAAAAAATGCAGAATGAGATGGTCATTTCAATTAGGTTTTTAAGAAAAAGTATACGTATTTTTCATAAATTCATAGATTAAGGGAAAGTGCATGTGGAAACTATTTGGAAATTAAATTACTTATAATATACATTTAGATGGACATTAGCGTTGTTCTTTTGCAGGCGAGATTTAACCTAGCCCAGGAGAAATCACAATTCATTTGAGTTTTGTATAGAAATCACAGTTTGAATTCGGAATTTCAAAATTTTGTAAATCAAAGATTTTCCCTTTATTGCACCAAATACCATTGCAACAGGGTGACACAATATGTAAGTAGGTAAAAAATGATTGTGGTAGATGGGCCAAAAAAATCATTTGTTCAAATGAACTAATGATTCTCAAAATATGCCAGTCTAATCTCTGTTCTTTAATCGCTTAATTAAAAAAAAATGGAACTAATGGTTGGCCGATGTTCATTTTTTTCAAAATTTTAAAAACTTATTGTTACCTTACAATATTTAGAAGCTCTACACTATTAGGTAGAGAGGATATGCATAAAATGCATCACCAAATAAAGCAAGCGATGTATTTGCCGCATTCAAAAGTATTTATTGATTTAAAGATATAATTCAGGTAACATATCGAGTTTGATCTTGATGAGACATTCAAATTTAGCACTTTCCCAATTTTTCTTGTTGACCTTCATGTTTATTTTTCTTGTATCCAATGTTCGCATACACAACGTCTTTCCTTACACTAATTATTATATGATCACCTTTAAATACGCACATTTTCTCTTGGTATGACTTAATAAACACCATTACTATTATTATCTATCTCCCACGCAGATTCTTTTAATATTGATGTTACACCCTGTGCAAATAGATTCAACTTACGTTAAAAAAAAATTATATCATGCATTATCACATTACGTCTAAAAGTTTCGTTGTTTGTTAGTAGATTGATCGAATTGTATAACATTTTGCAACTTTATTATACTCATTCTTTTTCTTTAATCTTTTACGTGATGGCTATTTTATGAGCGCAAACAATATCGTTTGAGAACGTTATACGACAGGTGTTCTTCAATAAATTTTTAATAACTTTTGAGTGTGTGTTTCTCTTCTTGAACACGTTTGGTTTGGAATTTTTATATATCAGCAATTGATTTTCATTGTAGTTTATACAGTCATTTCCTTTAATTGCTTTCACTCCCAGTCATTCAAACTTTTAGGTATTTGATTGTTGCGCAATCACAGTACTACGTTTACGTTGTTTCGTGTAAAATGACCATTTATATCTAATTTTCAAGGTGTTGATTATACCCACACGACCCGCATTATTTTTATTTTCCCAATGCTATTATTATACAATCTGTCAAATTTCTCTTTAAACTGTCATCCTTAATCGCAGTCGAAAATTACATTTTTAATTTTCCAAGATAATCGGCGTTGAAGAAATTGCCTCCGCAATAATAAACGGGGCTTTAGCGTTTTAGCGCAGTAATAAAAATTGAGTTTATTATCCAGAATTGCTATTACTATTTTATTCCCTTTGAAACGCCACTTAATAGGCGTGCACGTGAATACAATTTTTTTGACTGATGGTCAGTATGTTGCTCGGTCATTTCACTTTTAAAGGCACCTATAATAAGGAACGGTGAAGGTAATGTTTTACAAGTTTTTGCATAACAAAGGTACGTCCACGTCCTGCTCGAACTATTAACGTTTGGATTTCAGGGAGAATATCCGCTTTAATAACAAACAAGATAATATAATAATAATAAAACTGCAATAATTATTCTGTCATCCGCTGCGAATTAAATATTTACAGTAACCTTCATTCATTCTTAATAATTATTGCAAGTGTATTTATGGAAGTATTTATTTGCATTTTAAAACGATCTTGACATACAAATGGAAAAATCGGGGGAAGTTAATTCACATAGTGGATGTAAACAGACGGCGCTTGATACGTGTGCGATGAATGAAACTTTATTTTTAATTAGGGCTATAATCTTGGTTATACAAAAACAATTTCTTGTTAATGTTTACTCCGTGGTCCAAGTAGTGCGTCAAACACACACGAAAGAATGTAAATCGAACATTCTGATAACATATTATTAATAACATGCTATAATTATACTATATACAAGGAAGTACAACATTCAACATTGTTGCATCTATCTATACTACTAATCTTTACTTTAATACCTCTGTAGGATATTTTTATATCACCTACATGCTAATCATGCATAATGCATAAGGACAACACCGTTGTAGATTTGGTATATCCCAAAAACTTTTTCCAAAAAAAGTACAGAGAAATTTCTGACCATGGTGTAAGGGCCGCTAGCAGCAAACCTTCGTTTTCTCTATTGCATTGACAGTATTCTAGGGAAGCGCAGGAGGGTCCATCAATTTACTGATTTTACCGCAAAGTTCCTATATCTGGCAATTTACAAATCGTGTAGGTAATTGACAGAGCTTTTATCAGAATTTCCAGATTTATCTTGATATTTATACATTGCAGGAATTTCGCAGTCTCCTTGATTTACTTAAATTTGTATATAATGAAAAATGAATTAATAATGTTTACAGGAACTAACACAAAATTATTAACGGTGTTTGCGTACATTGGTTTATAACAATTCAATATTAAATTTATACTTGCAGTCATTTTTTAAATACTTGATTTGTAATGCTTGAGCACGAGCGCGAATTTCATTATTTATCACTTCTACGTCGATGTTAAGACTGAGATTAAAGATTATAGCAAACCTTTCTAGAAAAATCTAAAAGGTTACAGTACAGAATATTTATTTACTCAGCATCGAGCGTCCGTTTTCGGCTGTGCTTGCCAAATATTTACGAATTCGAACTCTTATTCGCGTTGGTTTCAAAGTGTTATTTATTTATTTATTTATTTATTTATTTATTTTGGACTTTATTTTCATTTAAGTGGGCGGGGTTTCAGTCAATGGCTATGCTACCAACCCGCCCCACCACACATTTACAAATCCATGCCCGCACCCGGATTCGAACCAGGGACCCTTAGTACCGTAGTCGCGCTTCCACGTCATTGCGCCACTAAATATGATGAAGGTTGACTTTGTGCCATGGACTTAACGGTCACAACATGAATAAGGATAATTGTTTCATTTGCGAAGTACCTTTGTTTGTAGAGAAGTGTGCTACAGTAAAGAGACGAGGTATCGTGTTATTGATTGAACAGAACAAAATGAAGAAAGACAATAAACACCTCCTGCTGAAGGACATTTCCTCTGTCACTGTTCACAATAAATGCATACTACTGTACCTAATGAAGGGTTGAAAGTCGAGTTGTCGGCCGTAATTCTCATGGATTTGATTTTAAACAAGTATAAATTGTGCACAACTCTTGTGCAGATAAAGCGCATTTTTTAACCGAAGTAGCTTTTGTTTTGACATCTTCAATGGATATATTTCTTGCACACGTTTCAATCGCCCTTTGTGAGGACCTCTTCCGACAACCGTGTTTGAGGTATAAGGGAATATACCCGATCACGATAAGAGGTCGAGGAGGAGAGCTATGGTTGGTAGAAATTAATTCCTTTCGTTGAGACCTTTCATTAGAGTACCATGAAGGATAAAAATAGTTCCCCCCCCCCCCCCCTCCCCTTCCAGCCCGTACTTTGATAAGAGAACAGAAAAAAGGGCAGTAGTTGGAAGAAAACGGTTCCTTTCGTTGAGACCTTTAATTAGAATGCAATGAGAGATAAAATGAATCCGCCCCCTCCCCTCAGGCCCCGTCGCTCACTGATCTAGAAAAGTCGCTCGGGAAAGTTATAGTTTGTACAAACCAATTTATTTCGATGAGACCTTTCATTAGAATACCATGAAGGGTGAACATGTGTTTACCCCCCCCCCCACATTTAAAGTTTAACTTGGCACTATTAAAGTCATGCGTATCCAAATATTCAGACCAATTGGTTGTCGTATGTAAAAGTTATGCCCGTTTTATTTTCAAAAACAGCATCTTAGGAAATAATTCGTGGGGAGGGGGGGCCCTTTTAGACAGCGAAATTTAATGGCCGTCTGGCACACCTTCCGTCTGGCACACCTTCAAGGTATAGGCTACCTACTGCAAAAAATTCCAGGACTCTAGGACCATTCCCCAAGAAGTAGTTTAAAACGGCAGAAGTGGGTCCGAGCGGACGGACGGACGGACGGACAAAACGCAAACAATAGCACATTTTTTTTAATTTTTAAGAAATGCGAGCAGAGGCAATGATGAGGTTCTCCGAAGAATCAAGGTTGTTTCTTATCACTGTTCAGAAGAAGGTCGTTCCCATCGGACGTGCGGCAAGCCCTTTTTGAAACCTGCTGGTAAGACAGGTGGAGGTCTTGAACTGGGGAATGTGACAGAGACATTTGCTTACATTTGCCAATACATAGAAGAGAATGACAACGAGTGTTAATTTACGATCCCAAGATTCTGAAAGATTTCAAAGGGGAGGTTCCAACTACGGCCGCCCTGAACGTTAGAGCGGTGATGGGATCATTTTTGGGACTGTCAAGTCAAAGGGAAGAGTTCAGTGTTCTGCTTCCGAAGCAAAGGAGAGAAGATGTTGAGTGACAGCTGGTACAACAACCTGAGGACGAATGACGAAACAACAGAGCGACTTCGCAATGTTAAAACAGATGCAGCGATTAGTCTGGCGATCGCATGTGAAATTTAAAAAATCTGCATCAACCGGGAATAGAACCCAGGCGCCCGCGTAGCAGCCACAACAATTTCGACAAACGACGATGACGCGACGGTTAGCATCTTAATAGATATGGAATGGACAACTATTTTGAGGGGTATAGAAAAAAATAGTGTACTATATACACGGGGAAAATAGTTATTTATACAACTAGCTTTGAAAATTCATGAAAAAAAGACACTTTCAACATGTGTTGTACACGAAATTTTTTTGTATAGTGATCCATAACACATACTTGAATAATATCATTTTCGATTCTTCTTCTTCTTCTCGAGTGTCTTTGGTATCATCCAGCGCTATATACTGATATGTTCCTGCATAATTTTTACCTTCTTTGCCCTACTTTTGTTTGAGTTTCCTCAACTTGACAATTCTTTTATTTTTCCATTCCCATTTATATTTCTTTCCCTTTTCTAATGTCTTTAGCTTCCTGTTTTCTTGCAAACATTTTTCGCCCAACAATCGGTTTTATTTCTTAATAGTCTTTTCTCTTATGAGATGGCTCGAATTCATTACCCATCAGTTGCGATTTAAAATGTTAAATACTGTACAAAGTGTGATACAAACTCAATTTATATTATCTCAGGTGACCATCGACAATTAGTTACATTGAATGGAAATGCTGCCCATAGTTTTCCCATCACATGATATTATTCGCTTTGTGCTAACCCTATGTTTTTCATCATTTTTCAATTACTTTGTCTTTTATGCCTAGTATTATGTGCACAGCTTACGGTACAATTTGCAAGGAAAAAAATTGAAACCAAAAAAATAGTTACTATTGAAGAAATAACATTTCACCTTCTGACAGTTAGTTCTCATAGAGCTCACATAAGTCATCTATCAGATCAGGCCCTCAGTGAAAAAGGCATTTTTCTTTCAATTATAAAAATGCGCTATTACTGGAGTTATTCACTGGATAAATGAGAGTTTGCAATTGTTTTGAGGTAAACTTGACGAATTGAGTTCTAATGTTCGTTGTTGCGTTTAAGCAATATTGATACCCGATGACAGTGCAAAAACATAGATTTTTTGTCCCAAAAGATCTTATACTTTGTAATAATTACGGGTACCTCCAATTAAATATTTCTTGTTGCTCAGCAACGAATTTTTTTAAGCCTTAATTTGATTCATTCATAATTCATGTTACTAATTTAGGCCGATTCGCTTTTAAATGCCCACGTCTTATGTTGATTATATAAATAATAATAAGAATATTGGCAGACCAGATTCCATAAGTAAT